CCCCCCCCCCCCGAAACCCCCCTGAAAAAAATTCAGAGCCCCCCGAAACGAAATCCTGGCTACGGGCCTGCTTCAGATAACATTATCTTGTCAGGAATTCATGATCACAATTCCAAATGTGTAACCTAGAGTTCATAACTGATTTTTTATTCGTGATCTGTGACATATTCAATACTGCATGGACTGGGCAGCAACTACTGCAAGTTATGGAGTTTTGTTCTTCTACCAATCAAGATCACTCGTGTGAGGAGGCACTGCAACAAGAAATCCTATTTTCAACTGTTGCACTGAAGATCATTTGTGGGAGAGAGAGACAAGATCAGTCTCCTTCATTCCAATTGGTAGAAGAACAGACTGACATTTTTTGCAGATGCACCTGTAAGTGGGAAGGAGCAGCATATAAGGAGCACACAATTTCCATTATGTCATCTCCACTGGCTGCCAGTCTGCTACTGAGCACAATTTAAAGTGCTGGCTTTAGCCTATAAAGCCCTAAACTGTTCTGGTCCAGCTTACCTGGCTGAACATATCTCCCTTTATGAATCAGTTCGAGCATTAAGATTGGCCGGGGAGGTCCTGCTCTTGGTGGGGATGAGAGACAGGGCCTTCTTGGTGGTGGCCCTTGGCTGTGGAACTCCCTCCCCAGCGATCGGCTCCCTCTCTCCTGAGGTTCAGAAAATAACTCAAGCAAGCATTTGGTAAGTGATAGCACTACTGAAGCAGCTAAATGACAATCACGGGATTGATGCAATGTCCAATATGGCTAATATGTTGATGTTGATGTGTTGTTTAGTTTTAACAGTTGTAATTCATAGTTATATGTTATGTTTTAGATATGTTATGTATTGCTTTCATATGTTTAGCATTGAATTTTGCCATTTATTATGCTGTAAACCGCTTTGAGTCCCCCCCAAGGGTGAAAAAAGTGGTATAGGAAAAAAAACTAAATTAATAAATAAATACAGAAAAAGACCATCTACACTTCCTAAAGCTCACTTAAGAAATGATGGCATAACAGTCATATACATATACAAATACATCACTTTGTTTATCCAATGAGAATAAACATGGAACTGGTGTTAAATGTCAAACTAATTTTTTTTACTGACTCATATTTTGGAAATATATGTTTGTTTACCTTTTCCTATTGTTACAATTCCTCGGATTGTTTCCCAGTGACTTTTCTTCATAGGACAGGGAGAAAGGAGATTTGTTTTATCTCTGATTTTATTCATGGCTCGATCAAGATCCTGTGAAATAAATAAATCCAAAAGTATGATAATATATTATCTTTAAAGTGATTTGGATATCTTTAGTGAAGAAACTTAACAAGGATTATACATTAGCTAGGAAATAAGACCAAAAAGAAAATAGTGTTTTGTATTCCCTCCCTCATGTTTGGGGTAAGTTTGGAACCTGTGTAAGTAGAATTCATTATTTCAGACTACTCCCCCCCTCCAAAAAAATCCTTTAAAAATGATGGATTTTACTTTTACTTCTTTTTTATTGTACAAATCTTTGGGGAAATATTTATAATGCTAGGGGTACAGTATAACCTAATTTCTAAAATATTATGCTGGAGAAATCACAAGTGAAACAAAAAAAATACTGTAGGTGCTACATCCTAATGACAGCATCAACTAAGTTCAAATCAGTTCATTTGTTTTCTTAGATTACCATCTCTAAAATAAAGAAAGTTAAAGGTTTCCCCATGACATTAAGTTCAGTTGTGTCTTACTCTGGGGGTTGGTGCTCATCTCCATTTCTAAGCCGAAGAGCCGGCGTTGTCCATAGACACCTCCAAGGTCGTGTGGCCAAGTGTCATTACCTTCCCACCGGAGTGGTACGTATTGATCTACTCACATTTGCATATTTTTGAACTGCTAGGTTGGCAGAAGCTGCGGCTAACAGCAGGAGCTCACCTCACTCCCTGGATTTGAAACGTGACCTTTTGGTCAGCAAGTTCAGCAACTCAGTGATTCAACCTACTGTGCCACTGGCGGCTCCATCTCTACCTGAGAGTAATCTATACTTTGAAACCAGTGAGACAATAGCATTGGAAAAAATGCATCCAGGATTGGATGAATGCTCATTTTTGTGGGGCAAAATTTGAACTGGTCAGAATATTTTTAAAATGAATCATTGTAATTGTAAAAGTAATGCTTCCCCATTGATTTTAAATGGGTTCTTGTACCAATGAGAATCCTAATGCTGATTATAATGGCAAATGCAGCTAATGCACACTACAGTAAGACAAGAAAAATGTATTTCTGCTATATGAATGCCACTATCAATATAGGCTCCAGAGCAAAACCAAAGCTTTGTCTCTACTGTTTCGGTTGCAATTATGAAACACCTTTCACGCTTCATTTTATGTATGCATTGTTTCTAATGTTTTTATTCAGAATAAACACGCAGTACCTCTTTATTTAGTTGTTTCTCCACCTGGGTTCCTGAACTTGAAAGATATTGTGGAGAGGTAGAGAACCTATTTCTCCTTTTGTATGAAAACACAGGTTTTTGTGTTACTAGGAAAACAATATGTTCCTTTTTTCCAGTTCTTTCTTCTTCTTCTGTTTGGTTTACTATTTCCATGGAAATTTCAATGTTGAAAAAATCCAAGGCCGCTGCACCAATTATGCCTGAAGCAGAGGAAAAATATTACATTCTGATTCTTTTCTAATATTATTATAATGACTTATGGAGAGCAATTCTTGCGCAGAAGTAACCATAGTAAATGTGCTGAAGACTGAAAACCTATTTAGGATTCTAAGAGTGCTTAAAACTGTTGATCGAATGACTACTGCCATTTTTAACGGTATCTAGGCATTGCTAGTTCAAATCCCATAAAACTAAGCAATCTAAAGTTTAGATTAGAACTATTAAAACAAGTAAGACTTCAGTTTAGCCATCTTAAGCTTATTTCGGTGGATTTATTCTATGCACAACACTGGGTCAACATCATAAGGAATAAAGAATTCTCTTTAGTGAATGGTTTAATCATGCAATCAATTAATGAGTGCATAAATAAAGGAAAGTATAAAGGTGTGAAAAAACACCGGAAAGGCGAAAGCATGATGGGTGCGGGAAATTTGGGAGTATTGATTCAATGGCTCTCAATTAGCTTTCCAACATTTACTACAGAGAAAATTACATACCTGGAACAATGTGACACAAGCCTCGTCTGTCTGAATAATAATGCAAATGCATTGACCCGTCTCCATTCTTTTCCACCCTAAATGAGGGGGCATTCATTTTCTGAAAAACACTCAAAACATCAGTTTGAAAATGACACATCCTGCATCCTCAGACATTTCCTAGGTGGAATCTGGGATATGTGTGGCCAAGCAATGTCAGAGAGTGGTCAAGATGGCAAAAAAAAAAAAAGATTAATTAGGAAGATCAGACAAACCAGAAGAAAAAAATTCTTAGACCTTTCATCTCTTGAAAAATTGGGATGACCAAGGGTGAATCAAGACTGTCCCCCACCAAACTGGGGCAGTTGGAGGGTACGCATATTTGAAGGTCAACTTCACAGTGTGCAGAAACAGCAATTGCCACTGAGCTATCTTCTGGCCACATTAAGCCAAAGAACTGAGCTTTGATGGCTTCACCAAATTAGAATTATGATATGATTAAAACAATGCATCCTGATAAGAATATTATTTTCTAAAGCCCAAAGCAGCAGTGCTGTTTCAGATGCATCTCTCTTAATACCCTGAATGTGATGACTAAGTTCTCTCGTTTCAGAAATATGAAGCCATCACCAACACATTCTGCTAATTATAGGACACTAGAAAATTTACTTAGCATTGCCTATGCTGGTGATTTTACTTATGATTTAATTTCCTTGGGCAATACAAATAAAGTGATTTTACTAATTAGATCAATCTTTTATAGGTGCATCCATACTGCAAAATTAAAGTGCTGCTACAGGAGTTAGATACCACTTTGCTGTGGCTCCATTCTATGGAATCATGGGATTTGCTGTATGATGACTTTGAATTTTTAGAGCATTCATTTGGACAACAGTATTTTTGCTCCCTGGAAGATAATCCTAAATATCTCAGAAAACTACAAATCCCAGAATTCCAAAGGATAGCTAAAACAATTAAAGTGAAATACAATGATGTAATTGTGTGACTACACCTTATATCACTGTGTCTTTTTATTACTCCTGAGATGGATTCCAATCACAAAATTTCATAAAAGATTGAGCTGTATCCCTCATCCTTAAAATTTGTTTCATATCAGATTCAGTGCAAAATGGACCCCAAAAAGACACACATATGTACCACACACACTTTAAAAAACCTGTTTTTGAATTGGTCTCAAACTTTAGCATTTTTTCTCCCAAAAAAGAAACAGTGGCAAAGAGCTCATAGCAGCTATAGCTCTAGTACCTGGGGAAAAGAGCTTAATCCTTTGAGGACCTGCTACAATCTTGAGGAAAACCTCCTTTATGAAGATGGATAAGGGGGTTGGACTATACTTACCTGGTAAGATAGACTCAGGTAACTATGCAAGGCATCCAAATTCTCTATAAATTCATAGAGATTTCCTCCCAGAGTTCTCAGCATATGGTCATAACCTGACCGCTTACAGAATTCAAAGAAATATTCTCCAAACTGCTTCAGGACCATATCTGGGGGAACATCTGAAGAAATAAATGTACATTAGCATAACAAAACTAGCATGTTTAAAAAATAAAAACTTAACTGAATTCAGATAAATGAGAATACTTTGATTCACATCACTTTAGGCAATAAAGTCATGATGTATCAGCATTCTTACCTTTAATTGATGTGGGATCTATCTAAATTACATTTCAGTTAAGGTAAAACATACAGAATCAAAGCAACATGGAGCTTTTTGTCTGTAAAGGGAAGCATGTGGGCACAGAGAAATTATGCAGTATTTTGGGGGAAATGGCTGTATTTTAGATGATATTTCTCAGACTCTACTAACCAACGTGGTCACTGAGGATTCTGGAAGTGGTAGACCAAAAAATAAATATTCCAAATTTCAAGCTAAAAGAGGTCCAATTGTTGCCATGGCTCCAAGAACCTGATGCCTTTGAACAGCATGGATACCTCATTATTTAGCTTCAATGTCTACCCAATGTGCTTCCCTACCCCGTATGTACTATTTTCATACCTGGAGTTAGCAAAATCTGAGAAGAGTCTGATATTGAACTTCAAACATTTCTTAAAGGGTCTCCCTGCCTTCTTCTTTCCATGATAATTGGAGCACAGGTTGAGGCTATCTTAGAAATTTTCAGATCACTGCGATTCAGATGATGGCTGAATTATAACCATTTGCACTTCAGAATTCATGTCCAATGAGGTCCACCAATGTTTTTATATTATAGGCATATATACACACACAACCACATTGTTGGGGTGATAAATATGTGGTCCTCCAGCTGTTCTTGAACTAGATTTCCCAAGTTCCTTCAGCATTGGCTAGGGCTGGAGGGAGTTACAAGCAACCAGAGTTTGAATCCCAGCTCAACCAGGAAGGCAACTGGGTGATCTAGGGCAAGTCACACTCTTTCAGTCCCAGGAAAAGGCAAGGGCAACCACCTTCTGAACAAATCTTGCCAAGAAAACCCCATGATGGATTCACCTTAGTGTCACCATAAATCAGAAGCAGCTTGAAGGCACACAACAACTAAACATCTAATTTATTTTCACTTGTCGGTTCTGATGCTGAAATTGGCATTTTACAGTATCATAAATAAAAAGGACAATTTTTTAAAAAAATCAATAAAAATATATTACATTGCCCCATTCTCTCAAAATGCATACCCAGAATTTTGCATGCCTTGTCAATGAGTTGCATTGTGATATCATCTCTGTAAACTTCAAAAGTCAAAAAGGTATCCTCTACTCCAGTTTGAACTCTGTAATAGAATTACAAATATTGCCATTAGTAACATATAATTAATATTATAATTACAGCTGGTAAAGGATCATCAAGCAACCTCAGTGAAATGGGAGCAGATTAATTCAACCCAGATAATAGTTTTTCAACAGAATAATCGCCATCAGGTGATTTTCTACTCCTGAAAAACAGAACTTTGAAAAAACATCTCCCTCATAAATGGAATAAGAGACTTAATAGAATGTGCATATGCAAAAATGAGGGCCACAATTTCCCTACATTTCAATAAGAAAGGGCCCTACATCCTTAGCACTGTATGGTATATTTCAAAGGAAGGAACTGAATCTACTGTATTCCTGAGTAATTCTTGAAATTAATGGGATTACTTGAAAAGATACACACACACATACACACACACACATACACTGTATATATATCCATCAATAGTGTGCCACCAGCAAACTAATTTACATATTTAATCAGTAAGAAATAATAATCACTAAGAAATAATTATGATCAATCAGGGCGGCTTCACAACAAGCACTCATTTGAGTGCTAACCACAATATTTAAACACATTTTAAAACAGTTCATTAAAATACATTACATTAAGAAACATTTGATTAAAATCACGCCAGTTTAAAATCAGTGTCTTGGACAGTCCATTGTCATACATATCACAGTGAGTCTTATTCCTGATTGCTACTGCTACTGTTCAAATGCTTGGTCACATTACCAGGTATTGAGTTTCTTTCTAAAGAACAGGAGGGAGGTAGCCAATCTGATGTCACTGAGGAGAGAGTTCCACAGGCAAGGAGCCAACACTGAGAGGGCCCTGTTTTTTGTTCCCACCAGTCACATTTGTGATGGTGGTGGGATCGAGAACAGGGCCTCTCCAGCTGATCATAAACTTTGTGATGGTTCATAATGGGAGATCCGTTCAGAGAGGTAATTTGGGCATATTTGTCATATCTTTGCCAAATCTGAACTTTATATTTAATCTTCAGAACAGTCAAGGGAATGTTTCCTTTGTTATCTTTAGCAAATAAAGGAGAAAGTGAGTGGAAACATATTTCTTTTTCCTTACAGTTATTGACACTTAAAGCTGCCAGCTGTAATAACTCTGAGAAGTGATGAAACTTCATTCCTGTATAATGACTCCTTTGCTACTAGACAAGAAGTCAACATGCAGTTAGAAACATGTTCACCCAGAAACAGCCATTTGGAATCATTTTGCATAACAAATAAATCAGTAAGAGCAGAGAAGTACTATGAGATGAAGCAATTGCTGCCTTTGTCTCAGTAATTATTTTGAACTATCCATACCATGGGGGGGGGGGGGACATTTTGCTACAGTGATATGTCATCTGCCACTATAAATTCTTTGTTTAAGTACTTACTTACTTTACTTACTTACTTAGGCGATCCCTCGTTGGACGAGTAAGATGGTCTTCCATTATGGATTTCCTTGTGGGTCCGTATGTGGCTGTGGAGCCCTATTCTTGCTCTGCATCTTCTTCCGCAGTGAGGGCATTGGTTTCCAGGTGGAAGGCGGTCCCGGTCGGGGTTGGCTTGACGCGCCTTCCTCCTGGCACGTTTCTCTCTTTCACCCTCCACTCGTGCCTCCTCAAATTCTGCAGCACTGCTGGTCACAGCTGACCTCCAGCTGGAGCGGTCAAGGGCCAGGGCTTCCCAGTTCTCAGTGTCTATGCCAGAGTTTTTAAGGTTGGCTTTGAGCCCATCTTTAAATCTCTTTTCCTGTCCACCAACATTCCGTTTTCCGTTCTTAAGTTCGGAGTAGAGCAACTGCTTTGGGAGACGGTGGTCAGGCATCCGGACAACGTGGCCGGCCCAGCGGAGTTGATGTTGGAGGACCATCGCTTCAGTGCTGGTGGTCTTTGCTTCTTCCAGCACACTGACGTTTGTCCGCTTGTCTTCCCAGGAGATTTGCAGGATTTTCCGGAGGCAGCGCTGATGGAAACGTTCCAGGAGCTGTATGTGACGTCTGTAGACAGTCCACGTCTCACAGGCATATAGCAGGGTTGGGAGGACAATAGCTTTATAAACAAGCACCTTGGTATCCCTACGGATGTCCCGGTCCTCAAACACTCTCTGCTTCATTCTGGAAAATGCTGCACTTGCAGAGCTCAGGCGGTGTTGTATTTCGGCGTCGATGTTGACTTTGGTGGAGAGGTGGCTGCCAAGGTAGCGGAAATGGTCCACATTTTCTAATGTGACACCATTAAGCTGTATTACTGGCATTGGAGAGGGATTGGCTGGCGACTGCTGGAGCAGCACCTTGGTTTTCTCAATGTTCAGTGACAGGCTGAGCTTCTCATATGCTTCTGCGAAGGTGTTTAGAGTGGCTTGTAGATCTTCTTCTGAATGCGCACAGACGACATTGTCATCAGCATACTGGAGTTCTATAACAGCTGTTGTTGTAACCTTGGTTTTGGCTTTCAGTCTGCTGAGGTTGAATAGCTTGCCATCTGTCCGATAGATTATTTCCACTCCGGTGGGAAGCTTCCCATCAACAAGGTGAAGTATCATAGCGATGAAGATGGAAAATAGGTTGGGGCAATAACACATCCCTGTTTGACACCTGATTCCACCTTAAATGGGTCACTTTGGGAGCCATTGCTGTCCAAGCTTGTTGCCATTATGTCATCATGGAGGAGCCGCAGGATGTTCACAAATTTGTTTGGGCACCCGATTTTGTGGAGGATGGTCCAGAGAGCGCTGCGATTCACTGTGTCGAATGCCTTTGCAAGGTCGATGAATGCCATGTACAGAGGTTGGTTTTGTTCTCTGCATTTTTCTTGGAGCTGTCTTGCAGTGAAGATCATGTCCACTGTTCCTCTGGAGGGGCGGAAGCCATTCTGGGATTCTGGGAGGGTGTCTTCTGAGAGGGGCAGAAGGCAGTTTGCAAGGATTCTTGCGAGGATTTTCCCAGCGGAGGTTAGAAGGGAGATACCTCGATAGTTTCCGCAGTCTGTTCTTTCCCCTTTTTTGAAGAGGGTGATGATGGTGGCATCCTTGAAATCTGCTGGGATTTTCTCGGTCACCCACACTTTTTCTTTGAGCTGGTGGAGTTGGTGTGTCAGCTCAGGTCCTCCCTCTTTAAAGATTTCAGCAGGGATCCCATCTGGTCCACTGGCTTTGTTATTCTTCTGTTGGCTGATGGCATTGCTGACTTCTTCCAAACTAGGCAGTGCTGCAAGCTCGTCCCTGGTTTGTTGTTGCTGGATTTGTGAGAGGACCTCTTCGGCCACATTGGAGCTGCGGTTCAGGAGGCTTTGGTAGTGTTCTTTCCAACGTAGTGCAATTGAGTTTTGGTCCTTCAGGAGTTTGGTTCCATCTGATGAGCGTAGAGGCTGTATCCCATGGTTTCTTGGTCCATAGATGACCTTTGTGGCTTTGAAGAATCCCTGAGCATCATGGGTATCTGCCAGGTGTTGGATTTCTTCAGCCTTCTTTGTCCACCAGATGTTCTTGAGTTCTCTTGTCCTTCTTTGGACCTCAGCTTTTGCACTGGCATAGATCTTTTTCTGAGCAACACAGTTGATGTCTCTCTGCCATGCTTGGAAGGCTTTCCTTTTCTTGTCAATTAGCTGTTGGATCTCGATGTCATTTTCATCAAACCAGTCTTGATGTTTCTTGGCTTGGTATCCAATAGTTTCTTCGCAGGCTTGAATGATGGAGGTCTTCAGTTTGTTCCAATGTTCCTCAACATTTTCGGGGTGTACTGTGGGTAGATGGTCCTTGAGTGCTGTTTGGAGATGGGCTCGTCTGGAGGGCTCCTGAAGGGCTTGGGTGTTCATTTTGCGCCTTGTCTTCCTTCCTTGGAGTCTGCGCTTGGGGCAATCTTGAGAGCCATCGAGGATCGAATTAGCCTGTGGTCAGTCCAGCAGTCGTCAGCACCTGTCATGGCTCTTGTGAGGAGCACATCACGGCGGTCTCTGGCGCGTGTGATTACATAGTCTAAGAGGTGCCAATGCTTTGACCGGGGGTGCTTCCATGATGTATTGCTTACCGAAAGGTTCTTTCACTGTGGGGTACCATACTGAGTCAATGTTGAAATTTACTTAAGGTATTTTCAAATCTTAGCAGTCCATGTGTGCATTTTCCTTTTAGAGGTGTTAACATTCCTTCAGTTTGAAGCAGTTTATATATTTATTCTATCAAGTCTGGGGAAGTCTATGTTTCCACTGTGAAGACTGAATTTTTCATCAATTACAATCCAGAAACATCTGAAGAACATTCAGATCTAGATAGTCTTTGCTCAACAATATCTTGAGGTGGCAAAAAAGCCAATGGAATTCTAGGCTACAAGATTACAGTGTCCAGACTGAGTAGTTCTACTCTATTCTGCTTTGGTCAGACCTCACATGGAATTCTGTGTCCATTTCTGGGTCTGGTAGTTCAAGAAGAAAGTTGACAGAGGAAGGCAACCAAGATAATCAACGTTCTGGAAACCTAGCCCATAGAATCTTGGTTATTACATGCAGTATGTGTCCACGTAGGTGAGCATGGATCAGAAAGAGTTATTCAATGACTTCTGAAATTCTTCTAGCCCTGAAAGACAATAAATAAATTTTGAAAAGCTAAAGTACCTTAGTTTTTCCCATATCTCTTCGCCATACTTTTCAACCACCAGAGACTTCAGGCATGTATTTATGAAGCCATACTGCAAAAGTAAATGAAAGAAAACAAGGAGAGGGATTACAAAAGGTCACTGGGCAGTTTGTTCCATTTGAGTTTACTGTATTGGAATTTATTTATTTATTTATTTATTTTAAAACATTTATATTCCACCCTTTTCACCCTGCCAGGGACTCAGGGCAGAGCACAACATATATGCGGCAAACAGTCAATGCCGGAATGTACAATAAATTATAAACATACATAAACATTATGTATAGTTTTTTGCTTATTTGTTTGATTACTCAGAATCATATATTATATCCCTCTAATCCTTTTGCATGGTTAGGGGCAGTCCTATTTGTTTGTAAACACATACATATAATCAAGACAAGTGCAATGTTTCCAGTACACAGCTGGAATGCAACAGCATTGTGCACAATATTTGACTGACCATCTCATAAAATGTCTCCCATGAATGTTTTAGTTCTGAGTGAATTTAGCAACAAAATGTGATTCTGGGGACTGAAATATGAAGTTTAATTTTATACTATGTATCAACTTGGTTGTGCTAATATAATTGTAAACACGTCTATGTGATAGGGGACTCGTGCAAAAAACAGGTCTGCCTTGCAATAAAATGGTTGGACTCAGGCTGTTACACATGTCCTCCACAGCGAAGATATGCTGGACAGAACCACACAACTTGTTTTGATTGGAATGAGTCATATCCCTCACAATTTCTTCCTGACTATATCTGAATTTCTTTTATGCGTTCCAGTTTGTTGTCTGCATTACATTTCCAAATATATCACTTCGTGGGAAAAATGCAGTTTATTCCAACATGACTGTATCATTCAAAATATGTCATTTTCCTACAGTGCAATCCTACACATATTCATTTGTAGTACATATTCTGTGTAAGCATGTTCTCTATGTTTTTCATGAAATGTTGTGTGAGTCCCGGACACTGTGTATCTCATATTCTCATTTCACTATTTCAAATGTGAAATATATACCATTCATTCAGGTTCAGTAAAATCAGACACATTTTTCCAGACTACAAACTAAACATGGAACAATAGCGTAATGTGGCAGCCAAAAAAAAAAGGCAATGCAATTTTGGGATGCATCATCATGAATACAATCTCCAGGCTAAGGGACAGAACGGCAGTATTTCATTCTGCTGTTGTCATACCTCACTTAGAATAATGTGTCCTTGTCTGGACACAACAGTTTGAGAAATATACTGACAAGCTGGAATATGTACAGAGGAGTGAAAAAGATGAAGATAGGCTTGAGGGATTAGGTATGCTTAGACCAAAATTAGGAGGTGATATGATAGCCATGGTATGGTGTGGTTGAAGCATTGGACTATAACTCTGTAGACCACAGCTCAAAACTCTGTGCAGCTGTGGAAATTGTTGGGCTTCATCCCTGGTCTGCACAAGTCTCTTGTGTCATCAATTTTCCAGACCTCAATTAGTAGCTAGACTAGAGGTAGTATCAGGTTGAGGAATTCCTCCCCCCACATACCTAAGCATGTTTTCCCAAAAGGGCTTTGTCTTCTCTCTTCCTGCCAGCCACTGTCTCCTTTCTCCTTTGATGATGGAGCAATGGAATTCTTTGAGGGAACTTCCTCTTTAAGTTTTATTGCCCTGAGTTAACCATGCGGTTTCCATTGTCTCTTCTTCCTTTTCTTCCTTTCAGTAAGGATGCATTTTGCCTCTCTCTAGGCAAAATGTAGCTGCATGGATCTTTTTACCTTTTACCGCCTTTAGAAGGCGAGATTTTGTAAGCTAGCTAGCTCCAAGACCTTTTCTATCAAGAATGTATTTATTTTACTTCAATAAATATAACCTATAGTTCTGACTCTGAAATAGTGGTCTATCCTAAGATATAGAAGGCTATCCTAGTTTGCCACACATAAGTTTCTGCTGGTTATGAAGTTTACTTCTAGTATTCTACTATATTTATGGCAGAGTCACCCCAACTGAGGGTTATTTTGAGTGTAACAGCTCAGATTCCCCAACAGAATCTCACTGGGTTTTCTTGGGGAAGTCACACACTCTCAGCCTCATAAAACCATGTGATAGGTTCATGTTGGATTGCCATAAGTTGCAAATGACTTGAAGGCATACAACAAGGATAGCCATGTCATTAGAACATAGAATAAGCTTGTTTTCTACTGCTTCAGAGATTAGGACAAGATCCATTGCACTCAAATTACAGAAAATAATTTCCACCAAAATATTTGGAAGAAATTCTTGACCATAAGAGCTGTTTGCATGGAAGAAACTGCCTTAGAGAATTCTTCTACTTTAGAGATTTTAAGACTTGGATCGAATGGCCATTTTTGGCTTGTATTCCTGCATGGTTGCAGGCTGGACTGCATGACACTTGCAAGATAGTCTTTTAAAATAATTTTTATTCAAGGCCTGATAGAGCAGAAATGACAGAACAAACAAGACTTTTGGGGCGGATAAAAAATACTAAAAACTACACAACTACATTTTATCTATAGCTGAATAGGTAAAGGTAAAGGTTTTCCCCTGTCATTAAGTCTATCGTTTCCAACTCTGGGGTTGGTTCTCATCTCCATTTCTAAGCCAAAGAGCTGGCATTGCCCATAGACACTTCCAAGGTCATGTGGCCAGCATGACTGCATGGAGTGACGTTACCTTACCGCCAAAGTGGTACCTATTGATCTACTCACATTTGCATGTTTTCAAACTGCTAGGTTGGCAGAAACTGGGGCTACCAGTGAGAGCTCACCCCACTCCCTTGATTCAAACCTCTGACCTTTTGGTCAGCAGGTTTAGCAGCTCAGTTGTTTAACCCGCTGTACCACCGGGGGCTGAATACCCTTTTAAAACAACATAAACACAATTTTGGTTATTTACTCTATTTGTATTTTGCCTTTCTCTCCCCCGAAGGGGACTCAAGGTGGCTTTACATATGGCAACTATTCAATGCCTTTGGAAAACAAACAGTTAAAACACACTTAAGTTAAAAATTGAAATTAAAATTAAATGCCTTAAAAACATATAAAACATTTCATTCATGTTTAAAATCACGTCATCCTCAAACATGAAACACACACGTACACAAACAAATAAAATTAAAAATTGAATGAAAAGTCAGCTCTGCAAATCTCTCATTATCTGATGGTTTCTATCCCCTTATTAGTCTCCTCCCTTTAAATTATTACACTTCTACTTTTGATAACACTCTAATCTATACCTGAGATAGTCAAATGTGTTTGTGTCCAGCTGCACCCTGTCTGGTTTGCCATGTAATGGGACACATTAACAATATCCCACTTTTCCTGCAAAATTGGAATTCAAAGACATCCATGAAACCTGTATCTGTTACCTACATCCACCTCTTTTTTAGCTCCCCCTCCTAAAGAATTGGTCAGTCATTAAGTGCAATGAAGGATGAAGCTCAACCCAGTGAATTTAAACAGAAGTGAGTGGAACTGTGTTCAGCAGAGCTTGGTCTCAGATAAGAGTGTCTCATGTCTATACAGAAGTGCAGCCATAGTAACCGATGCTGCTTAGCAGAGCTACGTGGATGTATCTCAATGTCCACTAGCACCCCACTCGCATTCCAAGTAGTATATCAGTGTCAGAAAGACCCTCTTATTTCCAGGTGACATTTTCTTTATATCTATATAGCTCTGTTTATGTATTCTCTGTCCTTGTTAATTGTATAACGGCATTGAGAGTTTGCCGTATATGTGTTCTGTAATCTACCTTGAGTCCCCTGGGGAGATAGAGTGGAATATAAACAAAGTATATTGTTGTTGTTGTTGTTGTTGATGTTGTTGTTGTTGTTGGCAATGATAATAATTGGAGCACCCAGTGGTGCATTGGGTTAAACCTTTGTGCCGGCAAGACTGCTGACCGACAGGTCAGTGGTTCAAATCTGGGGAGAGTGGGTTGAGCTCCCTCTGCCAACTCCAGCTCCCCATGCAGGGACATGAGAGAAGCCTCCCACAAGGATGGTAAGCATCAAACATCCGGGCATCCACTGGGCATCGTCCTTGCAGACAGCCAATTTTCTCACACCAGAAGTGACTTGCAGTTTCTCAAGTCACTCCGGACATGGAAAAAAATATTGTATTATTATTATTATTATTATTATTATTATTATTATTATTATTGGCAATGATAATAATTGGAGCCCCCAGTGGCACAATGGGTTAAACCCTTGAGCTGGCAGGACTGATGACTGACAGGTCAATGGGTTGAATCCAAGGAGAGTGGGTTGAGCTCCCTCTGTCAGCTTCAGCTCCCCATGTGAGGACATGAGAGAAGCCTCCCACAAGGATAGTAAACATCAAACATCCGGGCATCTCCTGGGCAACGTCCCTGCAGACGGCCAATTTTCTCACACCAGAAGCGACTTGCTGTTTCTCAAGTCACTCCTGACATGGAAAAAATATTATTGCATTATTATTATTATTATTATTATTATTATTATTATTATTATTATTGGTAATAATCAAAAGAAAAAAATGTGCAGCTTTTGAGTGAAGAGGACAGCAATGAAGAGAAAGAGCAAGGAGGCAATCTGGACTTATACTTGGACAGCAAATGCTCCTACTACTTGGAGTATCCATTTCCTCTCTCTTAAAGCATCCCCACCTGGTATTGATTGACTCAACGCGAGGTCAGTTTGGTCACTGAAGTCTGGAAAGGAGAAGCTACAAGTCGCAAGCCTTGAAGGAGCCCCTGCAACCTGATCTCAAGGCGATAGTGTCGAGTTTTGAGCCTTTTGGTCGGCTTTGTGGTTTGCATCTCATTCTTGAATGCACTTATTCTGAGAGCGCTCTTACTAAGTTAATAGGGTTTGCCTGAGACCATAAACCATGTTGCATGGGTCTGAATGATCCCCTTTTTTCCTCTGACGCGGGGGAGGGGGGAGCAAGCAAGAGATCGGGTTTCTCCCCTGTCCTCTCTTCTCGCCTTGACCCTCTTCTTCCATCTTCTTCTATTGACGCATCCAATCTTAAAACGAGGGGAGCAGAAGGGGGGGGGGGGACACACAACAGCAATCAACTCACCATTCTGGCGCATGACTCAAAGAAGCCAATTGTACAACACGGTGCGGCGCCCAAGATCCTCGCTTTAAAGAGCGGCAAACCCCATCCTTCTGGGCAGCCCTCCCCTTCGCGGAGCTACTTAGGGGAAACTGGGGACCAGCTCTTTTCCGCAGACCTTGAGGAAGGAAGGGGTCAGGAATCCGCTCGGCATGCTTCCAGCCCTCAAGGCTCAGCTTCCCACCCGTGCCCCCAAGGTCTGGTGTCGGCTGTAAGGTGAGATCGGCCACGACCAAGCCGCCTGCCGCTGTTTGGGATCCGACTCTCGGAGTCCAGTTACGCCGACGCGGAAAGAGCGCCCCCCTCGGCGCCCTGAGGGAATGCCGCCCTTCGCTTCAGCCTAAGCTGCAATGGACCGCTAAGGTCGCTGTCCAGGGGCCCGTGGTGCTGAACTGCCACCCGCTTGAAAGCCGTTGCCTTCAAGCTCTATTTATTTGTTTATTTGGGTTGTTGTAGGTTTTTTCAGGCCATGGTCTAGAGGCATTCTCTCCTGACGTTCCGCCTGCATCTATGGCAAGCATCCTCAGAGGTAGTGAGGTCTGTTGGAACTAGGAAAATGGGTTTATATATCTGTGGAATGACCAGGGTGAGACAAAGGACTCTTGTCTGCTGGAGCTAGGTGTGAATGTTTCAACTGACCACCTTGATTAGCATATAATGGCTTGACAGTGCCTAGAGCAAACTTTTGTTTGCTCTACCTTGGGAAGTCTGACTTGGCCATGGTGGTCCACGCTTTGGTTACATCCCGTTTAGATTACTGCAACACTCTCTACGTGGAGTTGCCTATGAAGACTACCCGGAAGCTCCAACTAGTGCAACGTGCAGCAGCCAGAATGCTAACACGAGCAGGGAGCATACTACTCCTCTGTTGCGCCAGCTCCACTGGCACCCAATTAGCTTCTGAGCACAATTCAAAGTGCTTATGTTAACCTATAAAGCCCTAAATGACTCCGGCCCAGTTTACCTGTCCGAACGTATTCTCCCCTATGAACCATCTAGGTTGTTAAGATCGTCTGGAGGGGCCCTTCTCTCGGTCCCACCGGCCTCTCAGGCGCGTCTGGTGAAGACGAGGGACAGGGCCTTCTCAGTGGTGGCCCCTCGACTCTGGAACTCTCTCCCACTGGAGATCAGAACTGCCCCCTCCATTCTGTCGTTCAGAAAATGGGTGAAAACCTGGCTATGGGGTTTGGCTTTCGACGAGTGAAGCAATATTTCTGTGATCGGTTAGATGACGATGAATGGTGGACAACGAATTCACTATGACGACTGACCATTGTTATTATGTGATTGCATTTTGCTGTTATAACGTTTTAATTGAATATGTTATATGATGTTTTTAATGATTGTTTTGTGATTTTATTGTTGGAAACTGGCCCAAGTCCCCCGATAGAGGGGAGAAGACCGGTATACAAAATTGCTAATTAAATAATAATAATAATCATAATAATCATAATAATTGTTGAGAGGTGATTAGATGTCCTTGTTTGTTTCCTCTCTGTCATTGTGCTGTTGTAATTTTAGATTTTTTTTAATACTGGTCACCAGATTTTGTTCATTTTCATGGTTTCACTGCAGACTACTTCAACCAGAGAAATCAGCCATAGCAGAGCACCTGATGAACCAACCTGGACACAGCATTTTATCTGAGAACACAGAAATGCTGGACCACTCTCACAACCACCATGTCAGACTACACAGAGAAGCCATTGAAATACACAAGCATGTGGACAATTTCAACAGAAAGGAGGAAACCATGAAAATGAACAAAATCTGGCTACCAGTATTAAACAACTCTAAAATTACAACAGCACAACAACAGAGAGGAAACAAACAAGGACATATAATCACCTCTCAACAAAAGTTTGCCTCAGGCACAGCCAGGCCATTGTATGCTAATCAAGGTGGTCAGTTGAAACATTCACACCTAGCTCCAGCAGACAAGTCCTTTGTCTCCCCCTAGCCATTATAGTTCACCTACAATCAGAGAGCATTCTGAACCCCACCAATGATAGAATTGTGCCAAACTTCCCACACAGAACCCTGATGATGAACAGAAAATACTGTGTTTTCTGATGTATAAATAGGTGAGAGGAAGTCACAGGGAGGAGGATGCAAGCTTGTTTTCTGCTTTTCTGGAGACTAGGACACGGAACAATTGCTTCAAACTACAAGGAAGGGGATTCCATCTGAACATCAGGAAGAACTTCCTGACTGTGAGAGCCGTTCAGCAGTGGAACTCTCTACCCCAGAGTGTGGTGGAGGTTCCTTCTTTGGTAGCTTTTAAACAGAGGCTGGATGGCCATGTGTCAGGGGTACTTTGAATGCAATATTCCTGCTTCTATGATTCTATGATGGTCTTTGGCAACCCCCCTGACACCCACTCATAACCACCCCCCACGGGTCCCAACCCCCAGGTTGAGAAATGCTGCTTTAGGCAGTTCTGCACCAGTTAAGACAAAAAACATTCTGTCCTCCAGTCTGGGCAAAGCTCAGTTTTTCAAGTGACCTTCAAAACACATTCTAGAATCATAGAGTTGGAAGAGATGCCCAAGGGCCATCTAGTCCAACCCCGTGCCATGCAGGAACAGCCAAGAGAGATGACTATCCAGCCTGTGTTTAAAAGCCTCCAGACACAGACACTAGGCTACCTCCCAATGTGGAAAAATCCACTGCCAAACAGACCTAATGATGATGATGATAATGATGATGATGATATCAAACAGATTGATAGCAACAGCAAAAACAACTCAGGAGTACCTGGAAGTTCCCATTTGCTTTTGAAAAATCTTCCTTTGCTTTTGAAAAATGCCCCAATACAACAACAAATACAAACATGATAATGCAAAATAACCCAACACATTATAACATGACACCTGAAATTCAATAAAATATAATCTTATAAGATAAATTATATCTCATCTAAAATAAGAACATCAAACATCCATATCAGTTTACAAAAGCTGATGAAAGTTCACTAATATATTTAAGTTGGTTATGTGGCCACCCAGTGATGTTAACTATGCTGACAGGCTCTATAATCCTGAGTGCAATAACAGTTCTCAGTAAGAGGTATAATAGTGGTATATCCTCCTCTCCATATGCTAATGAGCAAACATAAGTTTTCAGTTGTTTTTTGAAGGAGAAAAGGGAAGGGGCCATCTTTATTTCTTTAGGGAGGGAGTTCCAGAGGTGGGGGATGATCATGGAGAAGGCCCTCTCTCTTGTTCCCACTAGTTGTGCTTGAGATGGGGGTGAGAGCATAATGTTTAGGTGGAGTCCTGGAGTATTTTCAAATCCTGGTATGGAAGAGTGGTCTAATCTCCTTCATTAGTTCCCCCCAGGAGAGGCTTGTTGTTGTTGCTTTTGTTCATGTTGTTATTTACATGTACACAACAACACAGCACACATGCACATTAGGTTCAAAACACTTCATCTCTGAATACCAGTCTCTTCCCAAGGGCCTAAGACATTAAAGGTATTTTCATAGAATATGTGCCTCCTGCAGTATGTGGATTGATGTTCTGCCCAAATAAAGTTTTTTTAGGTGCTTTCGAGGTTTCTTGGAATGCCTCTAAGAGCACAAACCGCTATTGGTACTGTTGCTGTTGTTGTTGTTGTTGTTGTTGTTGTTGTTCTTCTTCTTCTTCTTCTTCTTATATTATTATTATTATTATTATTATTATTATTATTATTATTATTATTGAAATCCAAAATTGGCTCATGACATTAAAAACAATGTAATTTAAATCCTAGAAAATAGAAACATTACAATAGAATTAAACTTACTGAAACAAATCAGTTAAAATGTATGAAACACTAAGCCAATGCAATTTTAGATTGTATCAACATGAGTACAATGTCCTGGAGTACATCTGCACTACTGAAATAAAGTAGATTGACACCACTTTGACTGCCATGGCTCAATGCTGTGGAATTATGAGAGGTGTAGTTTGGTGAGGTACTGTCACTATTTGACAAAGCAAGCTAAAGACCATGTAAGGCCACAATCCCCGTGATTCCATAGCATTGAGCCATGGCAGTTAAAGTGATGTGATACTGCATTAATTCTTGATATACTCCATGTTAAGGAAAGTAGCAGCAGCACTCAATTCAGCTGTGGTTATACCTCACTCAGAAGAGTGTGCTCTGTTTTGGGCACCACAGTTCAAGAAGGATTTTGACAAGCTAAAACATGTTAAGAGGAGGCCAACCAAGATGGTGAACAATAAGGATAGGCTGGATATGTTTAGTCTGAAGAATGCATAGTCTGTATAAACTATTACAATAAAACACGACTCCCTGGCTTGTTCTTTAAAATGTACTGTTTTAAAACCTGCTCAATAAAAAGGTTTCAGCCTACCATTAGAAGAAGAACAGGGAAGGGGCCATTATGATCTCCCTAAGCAGAGATTTCCAGAATCCCAAGACAGCCACTGAGAAGGCTGTGAAGCTAGACTGCCTAAAGAATCAACTACTCAAGCTTCCTATAGATTCTTTAATTTTTTTCTGTCACATACAGAACTCAATATGACATGTATAAATGATATGAATCATAACAGAATCCCGTGATATAATATAGGTCTTTTATGGAACAGCAAAACAATAATTTTGTGTGTGTTGAAAGGATGCCATGACTAACAGGAATGTCAAGAAGGAGGAACAAAGATTAACCATTGACTTTAGAAAGTGCAGTGAATTATTTGTTTAATTAAGGGTCTGAGGAAAGGAGAACCCAAAAAGAGATAGAAGAGGTAATCTGGGACTGTGAGCTATGGAACATAATAAAGCAAGAGTTTTTCTTGTCTTTTTAATATAGAAATCTATGCTTAGAGGCTAGAATTCAGAAAAATAGGATAAACTTGGAGTGCATCTACATCCTATAATTAATGCAGTTTGACACCACTTTAACAGCCATGGATCAATGCTTTGAAATTATAGGAGTTTGCTGAGGGCTCTTCCAGACAGACCCTATATTCCAGGATCTGATCCCAGGTTTTCTGCTTTAAATCTGGAATAATCTTCTCTTTGGAAGAGAAGATTAAAGACCTGTAAAACTACAGCTCCCATGATTCCATAGCATTGAGCTGTGGCAGTAAAAGCAATGTCAAACTGCATTAATTTTACAATGTGAATGCACCCTAAGAGTTATTTCAAATTAGACTATTGGAACAACCACAACAATGGAGGGTAATCAAGAAAGCTACAAGAAAAAGTTTTAGAATTGGAAACACAGTTGTAAAATGCAAACAGCACATTAAGAGAAATGAT